CGACGTGAATTCCATAGGCCTTCTCCAGTCAGGCTGTGATTGGAGGTGGTTTCTTGTCCTGGTGATGGACGAAAGCTTGCTCCTGCTTATCGAGGAACATCTTGGGTATCTTCCGCCCTGGTACTCGTATCCACGTCTTCTGTCTGGGCTGCGAAAACTTTACTGATATGTGACTCGGCCAAAGTGTCTTTTTTGGCCCCCTGTAGTGTACACCTCACCGCTATGTAGCGATGCTAAGCAGAATTATTCTTCTGTTCGATCGACCGGGACCTACTTTGGCTTAATCTTGGCATGGTTGTGATAGCAGATGAATAGCTAGCGTGGGCTGTCCGAGAATGCCGAAGTTTATCACCCATTCCATCTGCAATTCAACAGCTCCTTAACTCGATGGCCTCCCATTCCTAGTAACCGTGTCCATTGGTGCAGGACCCTGAGATAGCTGTGCGGGAAACCTTGAAGGCTGTCCGGATTTCTGCTTTAGACTGCTCAAGTTGAGGTCGAGTTGTAGAGGGGCTCAATTGAAGCATTAGTACAGCTTGGGTGGTCGATCTCGCGTCACCGTGGCGAAGATCAACGTAAGCCGAGTCGTCTTTGCCGGTCAATACTATTGGGTAGTTTACCAGTATCTCAAAATGGTCTTCAAATTTTGTAGGACTGACGTTTAAGAGAACAAATCCCATCTGTTTTTGATTCCTTCAGGCTCTGACGAAGGCAGAGAAGTCGAAACGTTGGTCTCATAAACTTTGTCAATCATAGACGGCTCAAACTAGCTACTCGTCAGAATCGATCAAAGAGTATCTAAATTGCGGAAGCGGATTTAGCTTATCGTCGCTGTACAGTGGCGCCTCCGAGAGACGGGCAAGAGAATCGTAAACTGCTGCTCCGTCGCGCGCGGCAATGGCGCGACGTTTTCTCATTTGCACTACCCTTTCTACTGAAGCATCGGATTTCACCTAAAACAAGTGCATGGTAACACTAATGTCTATTTCGGCATACATCTTGTCCATCCTCGCATACCGCCTAAATAGTCGGCACTGAGTGGGCACGAGCGTCGCATGCGACGTCCACTGGGCGCGGCGAATTACGATTCTCTTGCTACATGCTGGCCATGCTTTTTTTGTTGGATTTACTAGACCTGTTCCCTGTTATGTTGTTTTTTTGGATACCACAGGGCTTGCGCATGTAATAAATTGAAACATATCCGGCGTCTCCCTCTAGCGCTTTTACATCGCGTAAGCGTGACATCCTCCATGATTCTGGACTTTCACCCCCATAAATTGTGCAATGAAGGGCCTCTGCACTTGATCAATTGCGGCGCTGTCTTTAATCACGACAGCACTGTTCTCTTCCACGACCTGAACTTATATGGTCCTGCGAATGCATTCGCAAGGCGGTTACGTCAAGGAGCTTCGAGCTTATATTTTTGCAATGTCTCGAGGCATATTTCCCATTCTAACAGAGTTATCTCTTAAACTGATTAGGGCTCTGCTCGACAGAAATTATTGCTGAATTCAATAGAATGAGAAGGAGCGTGTCCAAGGAGCCCTCACAACGCAGGACAGAAAGACTGGCACTCCTATCCACGGTTGTCGGCAGAATCTCTGAACAAACTCACAAAACGCCCGGGCAAACTTTCCATCCTAAAAGAAAGGTGCAGTATCTGAACCACTGTAGTATGTACAGCTGACATCGTTGTCAGCTTGGGGCGGTTTCAAAAGGGATGAAATGGGCTTACCCGCGGCGTTTTGACCACTCGTTGTTTACTTCCTAATCACTGACCTGTCACTATTCGTAGTGAAAGCCAGCTGGAGTCGTGCTCATTTCGCCCCTCCTGACACAGCTCCAACTGATGCCTACTATAACTGTCTAACTGGAAAACCCTTCCAAGCCATTCTACGAACTACGACTTATTGTCACCACGGACGATCTCCTCATACTGGCCGGTCGATGTATTGACTGAAACTGAGGGCACTACATGGATGCTGGCTTTTCTGAAACTAGCGGCAGCTCTAACATCAGGAAAAAAACCACAGAAAGTGCACAGGCGCGTTCTACTGACGATTCTGCGCATCAACTGTAATAACGCGCTCCAGTGTAAGAATCGCGGCGCAGCCGCATGATTTTTCACGAAATGAAATTTTGCTCTTGAAGTTTTTTGAATTTTCAGCGAGGTTAATTTTCACTAGTCGCCCCATATGCGGGTCATTTGTGTACTCCTTATAAGAGTAGTTCAAAATATTTAGGGCTGCTACTGTGGTGGCTTAGCGTTTTTGTTTCAAAGTTTTTTGGTCTCTTTCCGCTTTGTCCGTCCGTAATTCCTCCTTTTTCTCTTGACATGGCTATATTATCCAATTTTCTCCCCTTTGTATACTTCTTCTGCATGCCGTTAGGCGTGTCGTATTGCCTACGAGAACGATATTCATTGTCTGCCAACCAACATCTATTAAAACAAACTTAGAATGCGACTAAATAAAAAATATTTCAGATCGCACTTTTGCACAATTGGTTTTGTGCTTATGTCAGATTTCTTCTTCACAATGCCTGTGTTCCATTTATTCCATTTTCAGGTAACTTTCCGCAGCATCGCTGTTGGACATTCAAAATGGTTGCAGTGTTGAGGGCTCGCTTACTACGAAAGGGGGTATCTGGTTTTGTGAGCTAAGGTTTAGCACAGGTTCATTACCTGTATAGAGTAGGGTGCTAACGTATTTGGGGGGGGGGCACGCGGCTCGCGGCGAGTGATGACTCATCGGCTCTTCACTCACTGACATACTTAGAGCGCTAATCTAGCAGCAAAATTAGAATAAAACAAACAAGATTCACCGAATACTTGCTGAGAAATCCCACAGAAGCTGAGAACAACAAATGTTTGATCTTTTGTAGTCAAGAATAACGGTCAACATCAAAAAGGCAACAATCGTTGGTAGTTTAGGCAAAATCTTCCATCCTACAACTGTTTCTTCGCACTTTTCAGCGTTAACTGCTTAAGCTTTCAAATATAGCTAGGACGGTGTTATATCCATGTCTTAAACATGAGGTTACTTCTATTTTGCCGAGGAGGAAGCAGAAGAGTCGATGAGTCATCACTCGCCGCGAGCCGCGTGCCCCCCCCCCAAAATACTTAGCAAAGAGTTAGTATGCGAGTCTCCTATACACGCAATAATAGGGCGATGAAATCCATGTCGCGACCCTCCGGCGGAACGTCATTAAAGAGTATGTGAGCCAACGACTCATCATCTATCCTACTAAGCAGGTCCACTCTAGAGCTGATACATGGGCTAACCATATTTCATTTTTTATTACATTCTGCTGAAAATGAATAGTTGAGAGTTGACGTAGATATTTCAAGGCTTTTCACCTTCGCGCCTGTTCCACTGCAGCCCAAGCGGCGCCACGTTGGACCTGTGTAAACTCGGTGGACCGATTAGAATATTGTGGTCCCTTTTTTACTGGTGCTCGTTTTCGGTGCTAAAGAGCTACTGAGGAGAACTTGTCGTTCGGTTTTTCGGCGCATATTGTTTGGCAAACATATTGACAGAAGCGTATTCAAAGTTCTAGCTGGAAGAATTGATTCTCTGCATGAAGTGAGCTACTTTGTAGGCTTTTCCAGTACAGTTTGGTGGCCAGTAATATAGACGTTTGTCACATAGTTTAGTTCTCCTTGGTGGAAGCTGTATAATGTGAAAATTAATTCAGGTACGGGGTAAGGATGAAGTTGGTGCCACTATGGACTTCATGGAGCTGGAACGGCAACGTGGTATCACTATTCAGTCGGCAGCCACTTACGTTGATTGGCATGGAACAAATATCAATATCATCGATACTCCTGGTACGAAAATGACAACGATGTACTTTTCTTTCCTCTTTTCTCATTGTTCACTTACTGCGACTGAATACGGCTACGGCACTCAGGCAAATCGGCAGGTGTCTGTACAGTTGGTTTTTAGTAGTATTCGGTCTCTCGATCTTTCGCTGCTTTAACAATAGCGAAGTGTTGCGTGACCCGCATGATGACTGTCTGACGCCCTCCCTCCGCCCACACACCAAGGCTCAGAGTGTTTTTTTTTTTCGGGTTGCAGTTTTTGCAGTCCGTGTTTTTTTCAACTCAAAAATAAGAATTGGTGTTGGCTTTTGAGATGAGGAAGGGAAGGACTAGTGAGCCAGAGGCGGGAGAAGAGTCGTCTGTGCTATGGAACGCAGGAAGTCGGGACACTCGTCAATGAGGCTGCCAGGGTGCATTTACCTATAATGATTCTCCTGCTTTGTTTTTGCTCCTTTTTCCCTGTTTTATTTGCGATGTAGGTTTGTAATTAAAGGCCACAATCCACAATATACCATCGCGGTTTGACTTTGAACACGTTCCGCAGCTCCTAATGGGTAGAAATCGCTTTTTTGTGCACGTAATCTGGTCCGTTTGTCACACTCCGGTTGCTTCACTTTAGTGGCTCGAAAGTGAGTGATGAAAGCGATGCGGTCGTCAGGACCGAAGGAACTCCGCCTTAGTAGTTGCCACACCCTACCTGGTTACTGGGACTTCGGCTCTACTGTCAGCAGCGCAATTTATCTATAAACGAGGTGCGACGCTTTGTGTTCCATGTGTATGAACGGGCTTACCTTCGTCGTCTTGCGCTGGAATTCTTCACCTTACCTTCTTGTTCTGTTATCCTTTGTCTCCAGTCTTTCTCTCTTGCAGTGCAGTGTATCGCATCCTGGATTGCTCATCCAAAGCCGGAGCTTCACTTTTTTGTGTCGGTTTCATAGACTATTTTCTTCACTGATACGTCAACTAGCACCTAAGAATTCATCCTCGGTTCTGCCCACGAATCTGAACAGGCGGGAGCTAGGCTGCAACGTAATTTAGTTTGCGTACCTTCACCGTAATATGCATTGCTGTGCGCGAATAGCAATCGTTAAGATCGGTTTTGAAAAGGATAATGCATTCATCACCGTCTAGTGACAGCAATCTTTAATCAGACCTCATTGCCCCTCCAATAAAGTGAACCGGACCAAGGCATCCAGAGCACTCCCTTCAATCTCCTTCTACGCAGAAGAACTGATTCTCTCATCACGCAGCTCCCTCCCCGAACCTTGGCCAAAAGTCCTCACTCGTTTACATCGCACACCCCTGCACTGAGTTCCGCACTTACTGGAATAAGCCCTCTTACCTGTGGTAGTAGACCTTTGAATTTGTTCCTATTTCATTTACAGGTCACGTTGACTTCACTGTAGAAGTGGAACGTGCTTTACGTGTCCTTGATGGTGCTGTTCTGGTTCTGTGTGGTGTGGGTGGTGTACAGTCGCAGACATTCACAGTCAATCGGCAACTGAGCAGGTGAGCCTTTTTTCGCTTGAATCCCATTATTTTTATGAAAAATACTACGGATTCAGATATCATGTGCCTTTCATTTGTTTTGTGAACAAGATGGATCGCACGGGCGCAACACCGCTTCGTGCATTGGATGGTCTCCGCAACAAGCTAAAGCATAACGCGGCTCTCATTCACCTTCCTATTGGAAAGGTACTATTTGTTGATTCTTGTGCGCAGACCTGAAGTAACGCATTCCAGGATTCTGGTTTCCGAGGGATAGTGGATTTGATTGAGGAACGAGCTTTGTTCTATGAGGGAGACGAAGGTCTTACTGTAAGAGTGGATGATGTTCCTCAAGACATGCGAGCACAAGTGAAGGACTTCAGACAAGAAATGATTGGTGTGTGCATTTAACAAGGAAATCAATGCTCTGAAGACCACCTATAATCAACCATTGCCTTTCATGCAGCGAAAGTAGCAATAGACTGTGGTGTTCACACATCCTATTCTTTCTGTAGCTTGAATGGGTGGTAATGCAGTTGAGGAGGGGGAGGGGGAATTGCCCGAGACTAGATCAAGTTTTCTCCCTTCTTAAAATTGTGTCCCTTCTTGAGTAGATTCGTTAGAAATTGGTTATATGTGAACCTAACCATGCAGAACACCTGGCGAATGGTGATGACCAAATCGGAGAGATGTTCCTGAACGATCAAAATCCTAGTGTCGAACAGATACATGCAGCCATCCGACGATCAGTAATTAAAGTGAGCTCTTTTGAGAAGTTTTACATATGGTAAATCAAAGAACCTACTCATATTTGCTTTCAGAGATCCTTCCTTCCTGTTCTCACCGGGTCGGCTTTGAAGAACAAAGGCGTGCAAACAATGATCGATTCGGTTGTGCGGTATCTGCCTAATCCCAGCGAAGTAGTGAATCGAGCAAATATCAAGGATGGAAGGTGCTCTTTCAATCTATACATGAGCTACTTTTTGCTCCATTTTCCTTAAAGACAGCCCCGGGCTCGAGTAGTATATGGTCGTCCTTCCTTTCGTCCTTCCTGGCCTGAAGTAGTAACAGCCCAGGCTAGAGATGACGACCCACTTCCAGCAACTAATACAGCGAGCGAAGCAGCGTGCTACAGCTGCTAGAAAGTTTGTGTTCTAAATCGCCGCCCAGTTGGACGCGCCCAACTTCTAGAATGCCCTCTTGACGAGGTTCGCTCAGTTGTTCTTTGTTGGGGCGGCGGGCATTAATCGGAACTGATGCCCTTTTTGGCTAACCGCGCTCGTGCCCCTGAATGGTTCTGCTCTCCTCTATTACATTTCATTAGGAGGGCACATAAAGTCAACTCCAACCATCTTGCAAATGTAAAACACGTAAAACCACGAGCGACCCAATTTTTGTGGTGCAAAAGCTCGTTGCACCACACTACACTAAAAGATGCCGCCACCGTAACCTTAAATTCAGACGCCTAGTTTTTTGATAGTTTCTTTTCCTTTTTAAGAGGTTTCTTTCGTGTTTTTGTTATTTTCTGTAATCTTATCATTACATTGGATGATACCCACTAATGGGAGATAAGATAAAGGTTTTAATTGAGCCAAGGGATTGATCCAGAGACCGCAGGAAGGTGTGACTGCCAGGGAGCAATTTTGTTTATAGTGTTCTTGAGGACTCTTCAGCTTTTTCTCTTCTTTGAAGAATTACTTATCAGCTACTATTTCATTATTGAAAAGCAACTAACCACGACACTTTTATCGCGGGAAGCTGTCTTTAATTCATTTCTTTGCCATTTAGCAACGAGAAAACGATAATACTCTCTCCTGAAAGGAACAACGAGAAACCTTTTGTCGGATTAGCGTTCAAGCTTGAGGTTTGTTGTACTGATATGTATGCCTTAGTCTCTCTACCCTTTCATCCGGTATTCCCTTTTAATTTTTTCCGTTCAGGCTGGAAAGTACGGTCAGCTCACTTATTTCCGAGTATATCAAGGTCAACTGAATAAGGGTGACACCATTTATGCTTCGAAGGATGGCCGTCGGGTTCGAGTTCAGCGACTTGTTCGAATGCATGCTGCTGAAATGGAGGTTGGGTCATATTCTCAATAGTAGTCATCTTTAGTCACATTGGCTCCGAGGCTGAGCAGTTATCACTTTAAAAAGGGGTTCAAAAAAGAGAATTCAGTCCACATGGTTGCAACTCAGAAGCTTCAGTTGCCGCAGTTCACGATGTGAAAGTTATCACAAAAGCGTTGGGTTAGAAATAAACGTTTTAACCATTAGTCACACTCTGATCTCACGCTTGCAGTCAGTGTGTTACCAATATACACCACTAATATCTTACTCCAACTTGAGAAGCTTTGGAACGTGACCTCGGGTAAACCATTTGACTCATAACCCAGCCTTTCTGTGAGGGAGATTTCTCTTCCTTAACAGGGTCCCTTTTCGAGGCGACACTTACCTTTTTGAACGCCTAGGAGCATTATCCCCGCTCCTCATTTCCTCCCCATTTTCGTAGTGCCCCTGGTGAGGTCACCCCCTGAAATAGTTCACCACGAACTGCGCTTGGTTTTATTGATGGTTTTTGGGAACTATCTCTAGATTCTCTTTCAATGATATATTTTATAATATTTCGAGCAAAAAATCTTGCAGCTCCAAGCGACTTGTTCAGGAAATCAACACTGTCTACGCTGGTGACATTTGCGCTACATTTGGATTAGACTGCCATTCTGGTGAGACGTTTAGCAGCGATGCGAATGTTCCGCCCCATTGTGTATGTCCTCTTCGTTTTACTTTTGTGTGCTACTGTTCACTTATGATTATAAATCTAATCCAGGAGTCCATGCACATACCGGAACCAGTCATTTCCATGTCGATTAAACCGATCAATAGAAAGGATGGAGATAATTTCATCAAGGTTTGGCTCAGTTATTGAATCTGAATGTTCTTTTCGTAGAAGAGATTACATCCGGAAAGGAAAGTTAAGGACCAATCTTCCCTCCGCTTTGCTACCACAGGTCCATTGTGGAGTCATGAGCGGCGCCACGCGGGTTACAGTCGCACCTAGGTCGATTGATTTTACTTGGAAGGCTACAGTTTACTGGATCAACCAACTGATTTGTACCCGCCGTGTATGTAACGTCGTCGAATCACAATAAGGGCACATCGTACTTTGAAGATCTTCTGCAAGAGGGGGTGCCTATAAGGTCGTTGAAAAAAGGGGGTCGTAATTGTCTTCGTCAAGAATGGCTTCAATTGATGACTTTTATCGGTTTTTCCAGTCTCACATACACCCCTACCGCTCTCCGCTCGAAAGCAGTTTTTCGGATTTCGGAAAGAAAATTTTCCGGAGAAAAATGGGGATAATTTAGGGAGATGATAGGTAGGAAGGAAGGGAGGGTCGTACCAGAGGGGAGATTCCGAGGGGGAGGTCGTATTTTACTAAATTTTTCTCCAACGACGGGACGTGCTCTGAACACTACCGACCTTATCCGCAATCAAGGTCGAGTGAACAGCACGTACTCACCTATCACTTAGTTGGGTCCTGTTTTTTTTTCTTTTTTTCTGTCAAATCCTTAATGCTTATCTTATATAGGCATTGACTCGCTTCACAAAGGAGGATCCGACTTTCCGCAAGGAGTACAATGCTGAAGCTAAGGAAACGATTGTTTCGGGAATGGGAGAACTTCATTTGGTAAGTTCTTTGCAAATGCTGCCTCGATGGTAACTCCATATGATAGTCTCTATTTCGCAGGAAATCTACGCACAACGAATGAAAAACGAGTTCAATTGTCCAGTGGAGTTGGGAAAGCCAACGGTAGCTTACAGGGAATCCCTCACTAAGCCATATAAGTGAGCAATTTTTGTAAAGCATGCAACGTTTTACGTAACTTTTTCCTTTCCACAGGTTCCACTTCCGACACAAGAAACAGACTGGTGGTCAGGGACAGTTTGGTGAAATTGAGGGGGTTATCGACCCGCTCCGGCTGAAAGGTACGAATTTTCTTTCGCAACCTATTCATTATTCAATTACTACATATCACTCGACTGATATTTGTAGGAACACTCACATAGACTTTACGGATGAGACCTTCGGAAACAATATTCCGAAATCGCTTTTCCCAGCACTAAAGAAGGTAGGGTTTCAAATAAGATTAAACCACGTGCATCGACCATCCCCCCCCCCCCCGTCCTCTATCAGCAAAGTGTAGACGGTGGCTCTACTTTGGCTCTACCTGCTAGTGTTTGCGTAAGCGGCTTTCCGATGACATCTGCTAGCTATCACAGGAGGGCGAAATAGGGCCCTGGTTTCGATTGGTGCATCCGGCCCTAGTTCGCGTCCAGTTTGAAGATAACGACATAAGTATTTTAGGGTCTGGATATGATAGTGACCGAAGGGCCTCTGATTAAAGCTCCCATTGCGGGCATCAACGTCCGTATCCAAGACGGAGCAACTCACGCTGTGGATTCCACCGAAATAGCCATGATCAACACGATGCAGAATATGATGCGTGAAGGTAAAAGGTTTTAGTTTGGGCTGTCTCGGTTTCTTCATAATCTGAATATGTTTTTCGTGCAGCCTTCGAAAAAGCTGATTGGATGCTTCTCGAACCTATTATGACAGTGGAAGTTACAACTCCATCTGAGTTTCAGGTTCGTTTTTACATAAATCATTCTTATTGGTCGACTTCAAGGATTATTCAGAATTTTCGTGCTTTTTTTCCTGTTAAATGCACATTTCACGATTGTTAGATGAGCAGAAACTCACGGACATTGCGCCTTATTGGCCTGTGTCTACTCCATATCGTATGATAAAGGGGGTGCCACGGAGAAAGACGCAAGGGTTCTGTATCCACGCCCATCCGACGCAGAGTGTGCCGTTGACAAGGAGCTGCAGTAGATGTTCTTGCCAAACAAGATCCTATTTAGGGCAACGTAACAACATCGCTAAGCCAGCGGAATGCTATGATCACCTCTACCGATACAACAGAAGGCGTATATTACTACTTATAGTTTGTGAAAGTTAGTTGTCTCTTTGCTCTCTGAGGCTGCGTTCATACTTTGAGTCGGCGTATGGCAGCGTTTCGAGCGGACGCCAGCGACAGCGAATAGAAACGTTTAGGTATTTATCTAGTGTACGCCAGCGTAGGCAGCGTTCGCGAGCAGTTTTCTTTAAGCCCAAATTGGGCTCGTGAAAAAGTTTGGGCGTTCGCTAGATTGATATAATATCACTTTGCGCTAAGTCGCTGGCGCTGGCGTAGCGCTCTCAGCCCGGCTTGCCAATACGCTGGGGCGCCTTCGCTCACGCAAAGTATGAGCGCAGCTTGATCCTTGCAGTCGCCGTTGAAGCAGCGAAATTTTCCAGTGTCCTTTGTCCGACATGTTTGGATACACTTCTTTGTTACGATCGTTGACAGAAGGAAAAGGAGAGTTTACGATGGAGTATTCTAGGTGAGTTCACTGTCTGTGACCCATGTGCGACAGTGCACCATGGTTTATTGGAGGAGGGTGGGCTATAAATCCTCCCTGGAGTAGTTTGGTTCAAAGCTAAGAAATAGCATGAACTCTTTTTCCTTGCAATTTGTGGCGCTTTTCAGTTTAGGGGACTAGAATTTTGCCGTTTCTTCGTTAGTTTCTGCTTCTAGTTCATGCTGGCTAGGGAAGCATTCAGGCTCCATGATGGTGCGAGTCGTCGTGCTACTACATGCTGGACTTGTGGAAGAATGGGAGGGTACGCGTTGCCTGATCACGGCCTGGCCCCCTCATTCCCCCCCCCGCCCCCATATTTCATCTAACAAGAAGGAGCAGTAGGCGGCCGGAGCCGATCGTATAGCAACATTCGCTGGGTTTTCTTCTATAATATTGAAGCGCGGCTACAGTGTAGCGCGTGAAGCGCGCCATACCGCATCGTAGCGCGTTATCGAAAGTATGAACGCTGCTTAAAGGCGAGTGGCATCATAAATTCCCAAGACGTTCAGGATTAATACGTTTAGCAGGACAGAAATTAACGCCCGTGAGCGCCTTTTCACGGAAGGTACCCTTAGAACGCCTTACCAAGGTCAACATATAACACGGGCGCCCACCGCGCCCGCCCGCCCAAAATATCCGACCGATGCTAATGCTCGTATCGCTTTATTTGCGTAGTACAGTGTGAAGCAAAAGGATTGATATGAGGCGGCTTACAGAAACTTCACGGTTCTTGACAAGGTGACCTGCGCAAGCTTCTGGGCTTCTTTACCCACCTTGTACGTTCTGACCTCGGCAGAAAGCTCTTCCTGACCGTTGATTATAAAAGCAAATGACGGTTCTGGTCCCAAGAGGATGATGTACTCTGAGCCAGAATAGTGCACTGCACTTCACGAGTTAATTTGTTTCAATTTGTTTAAAATGTGGTTCGAGGGTGAAGCTCGCAACATTTCGTAGCTTGCAAAATGCCCCTCCCTTGGTTGGGCTTGACATCGCCCTGACTTGTCCAATGAGTTTGCGACCACCACTTTTGACCACCTTCTGAACTGAAGGGAATCCCGGCGATGGACATGATCTTGGTCACGGATGGTTCAGTAAGAAGGCGGTGATAATATTGTTGAATGCACTTTCATTTGTTAAGGTATGCGCCAACTGCTCAGGACAATCAAGATGCTGTCATTCGTGAATGGCAAATTGCCCACGGTCTCATAGATCCGAATGCCGAAAAGGGCAAAAAGAAAAGAAGGTGAAGAGTGTGATACCAAGTGAAAATATTTTGTCTGTTGGCTGCAATGCTTCTTTGATTGCTATCCGTTGTTATGTAGAATTAGGATATTCTAGATTAGATTAGTAGACGTTGTTGAACTTTGTTATTGTTATCACATAAGGTTAGCACTAGTCTGAAAATCGCTCAACAGGATTGGTCTTCAGAAATTCTTGTACATATACGAAATACGTTACAAACCCAGATAAACATTATTATTTTTGTTAGGCGCCAAGTCATTTTTTGTAAGGCAATCTAAAACGACGGCCAAAAGGGTTCAGAATAACAACCGTTGCAAAAAGCTTCTTTGACTGCAGTCATTACCACTGAAGTCTGTCGGGGCGTGGTTTGGTGCCGTGTCTGCTCCTTTCCTACCATTCACTGCACTCTCGGGACCTCTTTGATTGCTATCCGTTGTTATGTAGAATTAGGATATTCTAGATTAGATTAGTAGACGTATTAGACGATTAGTGGACGACTCTCGGGACCGCATCGATCGAAGGAACAAGATTATGGGTTCAGGTTGTTAAGGGGTGTACAGCACCCCGGAATCCGCGCGTGGAGTTAATGTGTCGTCCGTGGATGCACACAACGGAGCCCGGTTCCATGAACACTTGAATTGTGCGGCTGGGGGTGGGGGGGGGTGGTGCAACGCCGGCTGCGAGCGGCGCGTGCTGTACCGGTCACGGAGTGCCCGCGGGTGGCCGCGGCACGCCGCGGGGCAGGTTGCATGGGCCTGTTACGGGGTCTCGCGTGGATTTGGCTGTGGTTCGTCGTCGACGCGGCACAAACGGGCGCCCGGTTTCCATGGACCACCCGGGTGGTGCGCGGTGGGTGTGCTCCGCCCGCGCGCGCGTGTGCCTGTCGGGTGGCCGCATCGCCCCAAAGCTCCTCTCAATCGCGCGCGGGCGTCAAAGATGAAACGTACATCAGCCGGGTATGCAAATGCCGTATAACAGAAGCTATTAAACGACCTCAAACTCGGGCAAGGGCACAGCATCCGTTGTGTGAAAACACATAGGGGGGTCGTACTTTTCCGCTGGGGAGGGGGTCGTATTTGGGGTAAGACAAATTTATTTTGATAGTTGATTTTTTCTTGTGGAAAAAGGGGGTCGTATTAATTCGTATTAATTTTTTGTGTTATATGCACCCTGTACACCCGCCGGATATACGTTGCATAGTTATTGTATATCCCTAAACCTTTAACTTCAGCGCGAATTTCGGGGGCTCACTGTACACCGCTACAACCTCACTTATACCAATCTTGTATCGATGGAGGCAAGGTTGGCGGGCCCGCCGGCGCGGCAAACCATACGCCTCTGACACTCCCCATCTTCGTCCAGTGATTACAAATGTAGGACATCACCTTTTGTAAAAGCGCCTCTAACTAACTTCATTTCCTTAAATACCCTGTCGAATGGAGTAGGTCTAATGTCCTGGAGTGGACAGCTTGCTCTGGTCTTGTAAGCATCGAGTTGAAAGCTTGCAGTACAAGGGTAAAGATTTTTGACTTTGATTGCAATCCCCTTTTAGAGCTTATGTTCGAAATCGTACTATCTTAATGAGAGCAATATGGCCTATAAGACGACTTCCACGGGGTCAGCTAATGACCAAGTCAGCTTTTTTCGGGAGCCTACATGAGCCTGGCACCGATTTACGTGCTTGGATGATGAGTGGCCTGGGAATGCGTTCGATACTTGACGACGAAACCACCTCTGCCCAATAAAATGTGAATCTCAAACCTCCTTGTGTTTCGCCTCACGAATAGCTACTACAAACCATGTTAATACAAGAAGGGACAACTTGGAAGAAAGCAAGGTAAATCTACGTATATGAGCTTCTTGTCAAAACAGGAAAGATATAAGCTTCCAGATTCCACCTAAATTGTCCTATGTGCCTGCCGCTTCCGGCCACATACGGACCTGCCAGTTTTTTTTTCCGCAGCAACATAACCCGCTAACCTTTATAGCTGATGAGATTCTCCTCAAGCATCAAGGGTTCACATAATAAACAAGAACTATGTAGGCTACATCGTCACAACCTTGTTCGTTTCGGATGATAAGGCGTGAAAGGAGGATCGAGCTGGCGCTGCGCTAAAGCCCAGCCCCTGACACGCACCAATATCCGAAGCGAACAAGACTATAAGACGCTTCACACGTAAGAACTTAAACTTAACAGCTCAGCTTCCGCTATGCCGCGATCTTTTGCTGTATTACAAACAGACTGATAGTTTGTTTGTTTAAACACTTCTTTTATGAAGCACCTAAAAAAAACAATGAAAATAATGTAGTGCATGCATGATAACAGCGGAAACAAGTCATAAACAATAGCAAATAAGTGAATT